TTACTCCCATCCTGATAAGAGTAATTTTATTGTAGTCAATTATTTTGCATCTTCTAGATTTCACATCTGTTAGAACAGTGTTTCTCAACCTTGGCAACTTGAAGATGTCTGGACTTCAACTCCCAGAATTCCCCAGCCAGCATTCGCTGGCTGGAGAATTCTGGGAGTTGAAGTCCAGACATCTTCAAGTTGCCAAGGTTGAGAAACACTGTGTTAGAATGTGAAGAATTTCGCTTTTGTTTGTTTCTGTAAATTGATTTTCCTGTTTCAATATTCCTCTTACATAGGATTATACGGTGTTACTGTCAAGCTTAGGTAGGAAAACTCTGCCCCATTATGAAGAATTGACAAAATTCTATGATTTTTTCTTCTTCTAGATTGATTATGGGGTATTATGTATCCTCTAATACTCTCCGTCTACTATAGGATTGCAACATTTCTCAATTTCTATTATTAAAAGATGTATCTTACTTTTCTTTTTGACTACTTGTAGTTCATAGTTCTTATCATATGGCCTTACCAGAAACAATATATTCAAGGTGTTGCCAATGCAGCAGGATTCTTACCTATCCTAGTAGCTCAGCAATGAAGAGATACATTGCTGAACTCCAAGAGGTCAGAGTTTCAAAAGTACTGGACAAAACATCCATAATAATTATAGCAAGTAGTGTGTCAATATATTTCAGAACATATCTTATAAGAAACCTTTAGCAGGAAAATAGGTGCTCTTATAAGGGAACCGGGAATTTAAAGTATGATGGGAGAGGGGACAGGATTGTTAGTATACACTGATGAAAAGAGCAATGTGTGCAGACAGAAAGGCAGAGACAGAAAGAGAATATATTGGGATAAATCAGGTAAGGTACCTGGTTATGATCAAACCCTCATAAATGGATGGACAAAAAGACTAAAATACAGACTATGGCTTTCCCATTTGCAGTCACTTGGAAGTTTTAGAATGGACAAAAAGACATATGGAATGGAACCAAATTAAGATGGAATTTGAAATACAAATATGTACTGATGATGAACATGTAATTGCTAAAATATAAAAATAGTTGAAATTTGAAATGGAAAATGGGATAAAGGAGGTGAAGTGGACTAAGACTTTTGGTTATAATATACAGATGGATCAATAGGAAAATATGAGATTAAAAGGGTTGAAGTTTATGCTGTGTTACGATCTCATTTTTTAGAAAACGATATATGATGTTAAAAAATTATAATATATAAAGACATTTCAAATATTGAAGGGATATTTCACCATGCTTGGGGAAGATGTAAAGGAGCTGAAAATTCTGGATCCAAATGCATACTTTGATACAGAGGATCTTAAAGGTTAATATTTATTTGAAGCCAGAACTTTTCCTTTTAGGATTAATGGATAAACAATTAGAAAAAAAAAACAGGGAAGGTTATTTAAATGTGAAACCACCACAGTGAGTTCACTGTGTGCACAAAGATAGAAAGATTCAACACTGCCTATTATGGAGGAATGGCTGGTAAAGTTTTCTTGAAATGGATAAATTAATTTATTTGATTTGGAAAAAGAAATCTACATTTATTGCCAACTGGAAGTCTTTAATGGACTTTCTGTAAAAATGAAAAAAATGAATTTGTAACTTACAGTTTTTATAATTAAACAGGATAGATAATACAAAGATGAGTAATATAACTTTGGAGAGAAGTTAAAATATATTTGTATTTATAACTGCTGTGAAGAATATTGGAAGCTACTTTATACTTTTTCCTTTCTTTTCTATTTCTCCTTTTTTTACTTGCATTTTTTTTCTTTCATATTTCTTTTTTCTTACTTTCAATTAGTTGGTATTAGCTTTCATCTTCTTGCTTAAAACTTTTAATGAAATTATACATGAGATTGAAACATAGAATTACAAATGACAAAACATGTTTTTCCTTCTTTTCTTTTTCTTCATTTAAGGAACTCTTGCAAGAGAACTATGGTGAAGAGGCAAAGTTGATTTATGATCTGGAAGATCAAGGAGGAGAGATGCTGTCTCTTCGATATGACTTAACTGTATCCTAACAAAAATTCTAACTTGCAAAAACCACTTTTTTAAAGATAGGTTGTCTCAGACAGAATTGTGGAATAACGATAGATTGCTGCATGACCCATAACAGTAATTGAAGACTGGTCAAAAATTGAAAAAGACTCAGAAGAAGCTTCTTCTTTCTAGTTGAGGTGAGCATATCAGATCGGAGCTCTTATTTACATTGTTAGCCAGAATGTTCTCATTCACAATTTAATGTGTTAGGGTGAAACTCTGTAATATAAACCTCATGAGCCAATGCAGTGTGTCATCTTCTATAAAAGTCTTTGAAACCGTTGAGAAGATATAGAGAATTCTTTTTACATATGGCTAGTCCTCAACCAAGAGTTAAGGTCATAAGTTGAGGCATCACATGACCTGATTTTTTTGGACATTTTTTTGCAGTGGTCGTTAAATGAAAACTGCATTCATTAAGTGAATGTTGTGGTCATTAAAACAGATGATGTACATGAGATGAGCCTATATGAGATTTTATACACCTATTTTACATCTTAAATCTGCCACTCAAAAAGACTGGAAATGTAGCCATAGTGATGTCACTGGATGTATTTCTAGCAGTCTTGAAAACTAGATCTGGGAATTTGGGGAGCGAGGGTTGTTTGGTTAAAAAGTAAAATATTTCTCAGGTGGAAAAAGGTTGCCCATTGTTTGCTTACTTTCTGTGCTATAGGTAAGTTTTCTTAACTATGTTTCTAGGTGCCATTTGCTCGTTTCTTAGCTATGAACAAAATTAAACGATGTAAACGTTACCACATTGCAAAAGTCTATAGGCGTGATAGCCCATCCATAAAGAGAGGACGCTTCAGGGAGTTTATCCAGTGTGTGAGTATCTGCAGATTTTTCCACTTTGGGGAGGCAAAACAGAAAGGCAAAGCGGCTATCTTCTTTCTTTGACCTTTAAATTGAACTTGTCAAAGAAGCAGAGAATTCTATGTCTGAAATATGGAAATGAGTGAATGCTTTGTGAGATGGGGTACATATGTTACTTCACACGTCAGGAAAATAGGATTTAATCATTGAGTACTTCAATTATTCAATTACTCTACCTGGTTTATTTGGAGATTTTAAAAAGCTACTTTCTGTATTCTAGGATTTTGACATTGCTGGCCAATACGATCCTATGATTCCTGATGCAGAGTGTTTGAAAGTCATACATGAGATCTTAACTGCCATGCAAGTTGGAGATTTCCTTATCAAAGTAAGAAAAACTGGCTGTTTCTTGTGTATGCATGTATTCAGTGTATGCATTTATTTTTTAATCTTTTTTATTTCTGCTCTTTCCCCCAGATCAATGATAGACGCATTTTGCAAGGGATCTTTACAATATGTGGTATTCCAGAAATCAAATTTGAAAGGATTTGCTCAACTCTTGACAAATTGGATAAGGTTAAGTATCTTCAGTATGATCTTGGTAGGCTTGTAGGAGAGGCAATAAAGTGAATTGGTACAAGTAGAGGAGGGGAAGAGTATAATAATTTATATATTTGATCATATATACAAAAGGTAGCAGGACATGCGTACATGAGGGAACATGTAAGAGACAGGATATATATATGGAAATGGGAGGGCACACGAGGGATAGAATGATAACAGAATATGTGATGGAAGTGTGTATGTAGCATGTTTGTGTGAGAACTTGTGGTTGTGCATATGGAAGGGGGGGGGGTGTAAGGAATGCAGCCATGGAAGTCCTTGCTTGAAATACAGTTTTGTGAATTAGCACTACTAGACTCAGCAAGTGTGTGCCTGGATTGACAGGATTTGTTTGGGTTCAGGCACATATTAACATGGAATAGCCTGAGTATGGTCATTAGCTCTGAAAATGTTACACATTCATGTGGTATGCATGAAATAAAAAGAATAATTATTTCACTTGAATCCTGTTAAATTGCCAATCCCTATGTCTGAATGTCATCCATATTGGGGGGAAAAATTGTCAGTTTAAATCATCTGCTTTTTGAGCAAAGAAATGCATTAGCCAAAAGATGAATTATTTAACCTAGATAATGCATTCCTCCCCCACTTCTTCCACAGATCTCATGGGAGGAAGTGAAAAATGAAATGATCCTAGAGGATGGTATTTCTCCTGAGTGTGTCAATCGTATTAGTGAATATGTTCAACTTCATGGTGAGTATCAGTATTACAGCATTCTGTAATGTATTAATAATCTCTAGTTGGAATAAGATTCCAACTATGATTCTGCAGGTATTTTGTGCGAAGTGCTCTCTTTTTTATGTTTTGTGTTCCAAACATTGGATTCAATTTAAGTTGAAATAATGTTGTGTTAGTATTGCAATTGTAAGATTTACTGAAGGTGATAGAAAACAATGTAAGTATATCTTCCATCTTTAAATGCATCTTTTTCTATAGGGGGACAATGTCTCATTGAGAAACTTCTCAAAGATCCAAAACTGGCACAGAACAGATTGGCTATGGAAGGGCTGGAGGACATGAAATTGCTATTTGAATACCTTACTCTATTCGGCATCGTAGATCAGGTGAATTGGAACGTGGTATTAGGTAAATATAAGTGATCTGTGGCAGTCCAATATTTTCCTATTAAAAGCCCTCTTGTCCTGTTTCTCAGGTCTCCTTACATCTGAGTCTGGCTCGTGGTCTGGCTTATTACACTGGAGTCATTTATGAGGCTGTTTTATTGTGCCAGAAGCATGGCCACCTCAATGAGTCTCTTAGCGTAAGCAGTGTGGCTGGAGGTGGACGCTATGATGAGCTTGTAGCAAAGTTCGGTTCAAAAAGACATAAAGTACCTTGCGTTGGTCTCAGCATTGGTGTTGAAAGGATCTTCTCTATCATAGAGCAGAATAATGAGGTAAGGTCTATTAATCTGTTAGAAGATGTTAAATAAATGAGAGTTCGGGGTTGTGCATAGGGATCAGAATACAAATGCAGAAGTGTGGAAGTGAAAGACATCCTTATAGGATAGGAAACAATAGAGAGATGCAAGGACTGTCCAAACTCTAGTTGGTGGGTGGGGGTGGGATGTGGGATAGCACAGCCCCAACTCTTCAAGCATTGAAGCTTCCCCATTAATATTTTAAAATATTCCTCAGAGTTTGGTCACCTGCCTGCTTTCCTGTTCTGTGCTTTGAAAAAATGGTTGGGACCTTGCTATGGCGTATAACAAAGACTCTTTGGTTAGGGACCAGCCACATGTAATCAGGCCTTTTCCACTCTTCTTGGCAGAAAACCAGTTCTGTAGAATTTCTCCGGAAAACACTTGCACAAAAAGACTCAGTTGGAAAGATTACATCCTATTGCAGTGCTCTGCTGGCTGGAGAATTCTGGGAGTTGAAGTCCACAAGTTTAAAGTTGCCAAGTTTGGGAACCACTATCCTATTGGTATCACAAGACTAGAGTCAATCTGAAATAGTCGAGGTCTCGTTTCATTCTGGCTGGGAATTCTGGGAATTGAAATTCACCTTTCTTAAAGTTGCTCAGGTTGAGAAAAACTCTAGAGAGTGATAGGAGAGTCTAGTCTTATAGAAAAAAAGGAAATGATGGCACTCTTCTCCCAAAGGGAGTTTGAACAGGCTCCCAGCTGCCACTTTAGGGGACAGTGAGCGAGGTTCTTCCAAGTTGAATCATAGATTTTTGTCTGGGTCATAATCTTTTCAGTTCAATATGACCCATCATTGCATCTTGAATTGTATTATTGCTTCATTTTTTTTCTTAGCAACTACCATGTGTCCCCAAAAATAAGACAGGGTCTTATTTTCTTTTGACCCCCCTAAATAAGCACTTGGCCTTATTTTCGGGGAGGTCTTATTATTTTTGAGATGCAGGAGGCGGTGAGCATGGTCATCTCGTGGCTGCCGCTGTGTTGCAATATTTTCAGGGAGGGCTTATTTTCAGGGGAGGGCATATTTTCAGGGAAACAGGGTACTAGCTCAGACTACCTGTTCAGTAAGAGAACCAATGCAATTTGAATCAGAACTGTCCTCTCTTGCTTGTTCTCAATCTCTCTGATCAATCTCTTGTATTACAGGCAATCTGTAATTGAAAGTGGGAACTCTGCTTCTAAATGATGCAGTCGTAAAGTGTGACATCACACCGACATGCTGACTTACAACAGCAGTTCTGGCAGGCCCAGTTGCCATTGTTAGGTGAATCCTGAGCAACTGCAGCCTTCCATAGTCATATGGTCACAATTTGCGATCTCTGATGTCTTCCCTATTTATTTTCTTGTCAGAAGGCAGTAATGAAGGTCGCAAATAGCGATTGCATGATTGCAGAAAACTGTAATGTAATGTAGGCCCTAAATGAGAGCTTGTGTTAGCAGGGACAATGCAACAGCCACAACTATGAGCTCTAGTTTTAAGTACCCCTTGTTTAGCGCTATTGTAACTTTGAATGATCACTAAATGAATGGACATTAAAAAAGGATACCCATAGCTAATCAATACCTGAGTGCTAAGCCCTAGAAAAAGAACAATGGAATGAAAACAGAGAGATTAAGACTGATCATCCATGGGAATGTGTGCTGCTCCAACTCTGCTGCCACATTAAAGAGGTTTATGTAATTTCATTTTCTTGATTGTTTTTTAGAGACCTTGATTCCTCAAGTATTTTAATAAGACTTGCATAGTTATAGAATTCCTTGGAAGAAATTAGATTTTTTTTATAAAGATTTTTTTTTATTTTTCAATAAACACAAACAGACAAAACACACAAAAAAACCAAAGCACAAAACCATCTTTCATTACAAATTGTAGAAAGTGTGTCGATTGGTTACAAAAACTTCCGTGCATCCCTTCCACAGTCATCACCTACAATTCATAGCAAATCATATTTAAATCAAATATATTTATATATATATTACTATCATCATACCTCAACCTTCATTTGATTATAATTGTTTTTATGTCCTTTTATATAAAATATTCCAGATTTAAAGCAAAACCACATAATGGCATTCCATTAGCTGTTCCCAATATCATCCAGTAACATTACATCTTTATAAGATGTTCTAAATAAAAAATTGGTTATATTTAATAATAGAGTTTTTAAATGGTAGTCACCATTTGCAATTTATATAATTTCCTCTTATCAAACCAATGCATATATATGCATTATTATCATTATCAATCAATTGTTTAACTATATCGATTACCACTTCATTTTATACATAATGCTCTAAATTTAATTAAATTT